ATGTATGTTTTAAATCAAAATTCGAGAAACTCGTTTCGAAAGTTTTTCTTAGACCTAAATCGTGGTGCTAAATAAGATCGTAACACCGGGGTGTTACACTTTAAATGCACACAAGTTCATTGACCTAAATGACAAGTTTCGAGGACTAAATATCAAAATCCAGGAATTTAGGACCTACGATGATACCACCATACGAGTTCCATGAAACAAATATCAAAATTCAAGAGCTAGAGATCTAAATGACATCGCCCTGGAAATTTACAAAGCGCCTGTAAAATTTACTCGTTCATGATACATGAAACTAAGACAGATCTAGAGAGCAGTGTAGAATAAGATCCAAATGAAAAGGAAAAAGTCTACGTAACCCCCAAACTATTTATGGTGGACTACTTCACTTCAAACTATAAAACCGGGCTTTCTAGCCCCTGAACTTTCTAAAACCGGTCAAATAACCCCCAAGCGGTTTTGAACGGTGGTTTTGCTACAGTGATGGTGGTTTTGTCTTTTTCTTTTTTTACTTATTTTCGTTGAATCTTTGAAAAATTATAGTAAATCACAGAAAAATCATTAAATGGAAAATCCAATTTTGTTGGACTCCACGCGAGTAGATCTACACAATAAACATATAATATGGTATGCTTTAGTACAAAGCTTTAGATCTAAGTAGATCTAAAGCTACAACAAAAGATTTGTACTAAAACATACCATATTATATGTTCACTGTGTAGATCTACTCATGTGGAGTCCAACAAAATTGGATTTGCTATTTTATATTTTTTCTGTGATTTACTATGATTTTTTAAAGATTCAGCGAAAATAAATGAAAAAGAAAAAGATAAAGCCACCATTACTGTAGCAAAACCACCATCCAAAACCGTTTGGGGGTTATTTGACCGGTTTTGAAAAGTTCAGGGGTTAGAAAGTCTAATTTTATAGTTTGAAGGTGAAGTAGTCCACCCTAAATAGTTTGAGGTTACGTAGACTTTTTGCAAATAAAAACGACTCACCTAGCTGCCTACTCTCAATTCTTCCACATATATACGCACAAGAGGCTGGCAGAGTAGCCATGTGTTGGGCGATAGGCGGCGGTAGGGGAACGAAAGCTAGCGAAGGCAAAGCGTACACAAGCTGCTGGCATGGAATCGAGGCGAAAGCGATGAGGACGATGGCGCGGAGATCCGAGGCGGCGCTGCGTGGCGGCACCTCACAGGCGCTGGCCCCGCCGGGTGGTGCCCCTGCCGGACGTGGAGTGCCTCTCCGCCACAGGGGCCGTGTCCCCACGACATGCAGCAGGGCCCGATCGGTGCATACGCATGCAGTCGTCGCATGCACCCGGCACTCGCACACAAAAGATCTCCTTTTCTTTCGCTCGGTCGGTTTCGCATGTAGGTACCTCTGGTGTGACGATATTGCAAATCGATCCATGGATCGGCCCTGCGTCTGCGTAGACTCACAAAAAAAAACCGTTTGTGTTACGTCGTACGTTACGTTACGGCATGCATTGTGCCGTGTCATGTCACGTGTGTCATGCATGCAGCGCAAGAATGCCGCAACGGCTAACGACCCCAGCGTGCAGTCGTGCACACGTACATCTTGGCCTCCCCAGCTTCTTGTCACCGTGATCGAATTGCACTAGTCGATCGAGCCGCCGTCCATCCAAGCTGTGCATGTGCATGTTTTGGATCCACGTGCATGCACGTAAGATCAGACCGGCCATGGCCGGCCGGCCGGCCGGCGGTCGGCACATGCACATGCACGAGGTAGCATATGAACACGTACCGGACATAACCACCCGGCGGTAACGACCACCCGACCGAGCCGCATGGAACCGCCTGCCTGCTGCTGCCGGCCGGTGGCGAAGTCCAGGCCCGGCACGCACCAGTAGAGAAACGGGCTGTGTTTCTGGTTCTTAACCCCTTTTAGTCCTGGTTTTAGAACCGGGAGTACGAATCCGGGACTAAAAGGCCCTCTTTTAGTCCCGGTTTCGCGCCCGGGACTAAAGGTCCACCGGTTGTTAATACCAACCGGGGCTAAAGAGGCCTCCTGGCCTGGCTACGTGGACCGGCCCTTTAGTTCCGGTTGGTATTATCAATCGGGACTAAATATTTTCTTTTTTTTCTTTTTTTGTTTCTATTTTCAATTGATGATTCGTTTTGGTTTTCGAATACGCATTCTACGCTGCTAATAATATACGTATTCTATACGTTTATAATGTTCGAACATTTTGTACAAAATAAAGTATGAAACTAACGTATATATTACATGCATATATATATATATATTGTACGATATTTTATGAACATATAATATGTATATATATATATTACAAATAAATCTTGCATTGTATATTCTATCATATCCTTGGCATAACAAATTCATTTCATCTGGTTTGGCTTCCATGTTTCGTTCATGTCATTGTAGAATTCGCCGGTGGGGTTTAGGACCTGGTCATTAAGAAATCCTGCTATGGTCTCTTGAATTGCTTTCAGTTGGTCACGCCGTATGACTTTTTCCTTCAACCATAGAGTCTTCAATAAAAATTAAAGGAAAAATATTAATATATATATATATATGTGTGTGTGTGTGTGTGTTGGTCACGTGATTACTTATATATATGAGCAATAAAAGAAATTGTGAATATATGAATATATTTATATAACGTACTTTGAGGTTCTCTTCAGAGTTCTTTTTGAGTACGCCATGATAAACTCGCAAACATAGTATCCGCGGGTTCATGTTCTACCACTACCTCTTCTTCAGCTTCCCCCATTGCAGTATCATTGAAGGCACCATATTCAGCAATAATGTCATCATCGTCCCATTGTTCTTCTTCACCTTCTTCCATTACAACTCCGGTTTTTCCGTGCTTCGTCCAACAAATATAGTTTGGTATGAAACCCGACTTCAACAAGTGTGAATGAAGACTCTTTGAGCTAGCATATTTCTTCAAATTCTTACATATGGCACATGGGCAGCACATGAAACCATCGCGTTTGTTTGTCTCGGCCACACGTAAGAAAGAATGTACACCCTCAATGAACTCTTGGGAGCGGCGATCAACATTGTACATCCAATGCCGGCTCATCTGCATTACATGACATACATACCATATTAAAACCTAAAACATAATTAGTTAATTATACGGCATGCATGCCACCACACAAGGTATTAATTTATAAAAGTCTCGTTACAATGTAGACAATCCCAACTACCACTAAAAAACTAAAGCTAAAATGCACTTCAGCAGCATAAGGATTTCGCGACCAATCCCAACTAAAACAGACAGATCATGCGTTTGTTTAATATCTATGGGCTTTTTCTGCAGGATCACTGCCTCATCAGCCGCCGTAGTCGCCTGTGCAAGAGACTTTTGCACGTGTTCAATATACTCTCCCTCCCAGTACCAGCCTGAACATCCAGTGCCATCCCACTGAAATTAAAACAAAAAATTAGAACTTTAATCACAATCATCATGAAAATAAGTATAAATTAACCATAATCATCAAATACGATAAAATAACTCACATTGCGATCCGGACACTTGTAGAAGATACGGCCCTTGTTGAGACACTTCTTCCTCACCCGGTACTCCATCACAATCTTCTTCTCACACTTGCCGCATGCAATGAGAGGGAGGTCCGGCCTCAGTCACTTTGGAACCCGATGAGAGGCCGAGGACCCGGAAGCAGTTGCCATATACTCTCTATACTCATTTTTAATATAATATAAATTTCTCATTTTATAAACAAATAAAATTAAAAAAACTCTAAAATTCTCTATGTCTCTAAACCATAAAGTGTGCTATACATGCTAGAAATGAAAGCTGAATACTAGTTTTGAATAACTACTTTAACCTTCCTTCATCCAAATATGCAAACTTTAAATTGATTTTGAGCTTAAATGGCTTACAAATAAAAAAAATACATCATAAAAAACCACATATATCTAGTCCACAAAATGTGATATGCTACTAATGAAACATGAGAGTATAAAGTTGATAACCTTTAGAACCGAAAAATCGACGAAGGAATCGAAGAAATCTTGTGATGACCGGCGATTAGGAGGAAGAGAGGCCGGCGATGAAGCAAGAACATTGAGCTCGAAGTGGCTCGGGCTCGGGGAGGAGAAAAGGCTACATAGGAGGGGACCTTTAGTCCCAGCTGGAGACAGAAACCGGGACTAAAGGTCCCTTTCTAGTCCTGGATGGAGCCTCCAGCCGAGAATAGACTTTTACTCCCGGTTAGAGGGACCAACCGGAAGTAAAAGTTAATCTTTAGTCCCAGTTGGTAGTTTTAAACGGGACTAAAGGTCCCCTGCAGCAAAAGCCTGCCGCAGTAGCCATTGGCCAGGAACCTTTAGTCCTGATTAGAGCTATAAACCAGGACTAAATGTCTCTTTAGTCACGGATGAAAAAAAAATATCAGAACTAAACCCAAATTTCAAGCATCGTTTGTCGAGTAGTGACGCAAACGTCGGCAATATGCCGGGAGCCGATCGTTGCGCCGGCCCGTCAAAGCCAAGCCGGCGACGCGGCGAGCCCCGATTGGGCGGCGCAGCTGACCCAACCCGGGGACGCCGCTACGTGTCCCGGGCGCACCTGACTGCCACACCACAGCCACACGTCCCTCGGACCGGCAGGGACGCACGCAACAAAGCCGGACGACGACGGCGACGACGCATGCAGGTTGCGCCGCGTGGCCGCGCGACCCCCCACTCCGCGGCCGCCACGTGGGGGTCGGACCGCCCGTACGGGAGCGACACGTCGATTCCATGGCCTGCTGGTCTCTCGCGTCCCCTGCCGTGCCGGGGTATATATACCTGGCCGTGGCGCCTTCGTCGTTCTCGAACGCAGGGCGCAGGCAGAGGCGCAGAGCTAGCAAATTTGGATCAACAGGAGAGGTTATTGTTGACGACGACGTCGTATATTACAAATTAAAAGGCTTGGAGTATTTTCCGGATTTAGTACCGATCGAAGAGGAAGAGGCTGCTCTGCGGCATCCATGGCGGCGCTGGCAGAGATGGCTGTCACGGCGACGGCGACGACGAGCAGCAGGGTGGAAGAGGCGGGGCGGATGTCGTCCATAGAGTGGGAGCCCAAGACGCTCACCCTCGACCGGATCAAGTTCGCAAGGGTAAGCATGCATGCACACATATTATGAATATATAATGCATTATATTATATATAAACATACATTTCTAATTTGTATATGCAATTCTCAAAAAAAAAATTGTATATGCACTAGGGTCTAGGGATGTCTTTAATTTTCGGGTCGTCCTTGTGACCGATGAGCCGTATGATGTGTGAGACTATTTTAACCCAGAACTTGCATCATCCTCGGCAACCCCCCCCCCCTCTTTTTTCTTTAGCCATCTCGCATGACGAAGAATTCTATTCCCGCCCAGCTAAATTAATGTGTGTGATCCAAAATTTCTTCTCACAAATCCAAAATTTTCTTAATAAGTACACTAGTATCACATTCATTTCTCTCGATTTGTAAATGCATCTTCCCCTCCATGGCCCCTTCTTTTATTTTCTCTCGTAAAAACATTGTCGAGTACGTATATTTCTTTTATTTTCTCTCGTAAAAACATTGTCGAGTACGTTATTTCATAATTCATACAAGAACTATATAATAGACACATATTTTGGTAGCTTGCGAACTGTTTTGAATTTATATTTTTTTCTTTCCAAAGTACTATGATAACTTATAATAGTAAAATAATTCCCAAATAATTGGAGTGTAACTGTTCCTGAAAACCTATTGAATTAGGCAGCCCTTTCCACGTGTTTAGGTACCATTGCATCACTCCATCTTTCCATGTAGTGACTCACCTACCTTTCTCCATCCACAAAATGCACAGAACAAATATTAATTACTGTATTGATGTATTTAGGTGAACTGTCCTAAAATAATAAGATGTTGATGCATTCATAATTTGTACTAATTATAATTTATTTAGGTGAATTGTCCTTCCTTAAATTAAAAATAGCAGTTACATGTCTAACTATATATATATATATATAGATTTAGTGTCTACCATCAGGTCTAAATGTATAAAATCTAACTGTATAGTTAAAAAGAGCTACATGCGTCATTTGTTTTACAATCAAATTTGAAATATGATAGTATAAAATTTCTCTAATATACATCATTTATTTTATTTAATGATTTATTTTGAAACTTTTAGTATTACTTACTATATTTTAGGACGACGAAAGATGAAGGGGTAACTAAACTCGTATTATAGCAGCCGAATGCAATAAATTTTATTCTTTTCTTTTCTAAAAGAAGAAATGAAACACATGGTAGTTACGAAAGCGAGTGTAGCGTACTGAAACACGCATGATTGGCGTGCGACGTGTCACGTGTCTATGGCGTACTACGGGTCTGATCCGTCACGCAACCTGAACGTCGTACGTTCGTGTACCCCATGCGCCCGACTGGCCACACCACACGCGTTAACGGGTGCAACTGTGACAGACAGAGACGTGCCCGGCCGGCATGGCCCGTTCTGCTTACCTTAAAGTTGACTTGTTCGATTTTTTTTTCCAGCTGAAACAATGTTTTCTCTAACAACATTTCAGTCAGAACAGTATTTTTAGTTAATTTGAGCCAAATTTTGGTAAACCGACCTTGTGTACATACGTACCCACATGGACTATTCGTGTACTCCGACTAGACGACCTTGTGTACATACGTACCCATCACCGTGATGATGACGTCTTTGCATTATTCGTACTTTACACGTATATATACGTACGTCCACGATACGTCCATACGTACTACGTGTTAACAACAGTTGGTCTCTGAATTAATAACCATTTAATAAAGTGAATAAACATAAACACGAATAAATTAAATAACAGGCGAGAGTGTTTTCTGTGCATGTTGCAGGAGGCGGCGTTGTACGTGGTGAGCACCAAGACGGAAGAGGCGGCGATCCGGATCTTCACCGAGGGCCTCAAGCCCGTGCAGATGACGACAGTCCGGAAGTCGAGTTCCATCGACTCCTCGTCGGAAGACGACGTCGAGCTCGGCTGCTGCTGCTCCTCCGCCGGCTCCAACAAAGGCTGTTGCGGCGGCGGGAGCAAAGGCGGCCGACGTGGTCGACGGCGGCGGCACTCCATTGACGACAGGGACGTCGCCACAGCGCCATTCTAGCTAGCTACTCCTAGTTGTTAGCTGCGTGCGTACTAGGAATAGTCTAGAGTCTGCTGTACTTGTGTATTTTCTTCTTCTTTCCTCGCCTGTTTTTACTTGCTTTCCTATGGATGGCCTGTTTTTACTTTCTTCTTTTCTCGACTGTTTAAAGGAGCCGGCGAGTTTGACCCAGTTTTTTTTTAGCGCAGCGAATTTTTAAGGCACAGGAGCACTAAATAAGAGAGCCTTGTGCCTCAAAAATTCGCTACGTGAAAAATGGTTTGTAGCAATGGGATAATTTTTTTTAGAGATGGCTGGTGATGGAACTATCTCTACAGTGCGTGCTAGAGACCCACGAGATCAGTCGCCCCTACAAATGGAATAGCAGAGCCGGCTGGTGATACGAGCTGCCCCTACAAATGAGTCGGATTTGTGAGGTGGCTCACTCACCAGCCGTCCGTACAAATGACCCACATATAAAAAAACTACAACACATTCTTTCTCCTCGGGTCACTCACTCCAACCCGTGAAAGAAAGGTGGGGAGGCCTTGGACATCTCCCAAAAATTGTCCTACTAAGGGAGAAGATTTTGGTCTCAAATCATTTGGTGGAGAGGTTGTAGAATGTAAGAAAATGCTATTCTATTTTTTTAAAGTTTTAATGGTTGGTTAGTGAGTAATTAGAGTTTTGCTTTTCTCTCTCTTCTATGGTGCTTGAGCTACTTATGAAGCAAATTAGACCCAAGTTTTGATTGTACTTGGGTAAATTAGGTAGGGAAACAAGATCATGCCCTTATTTGGTCCATGTTTCTTAATTTTAGTGAACAATTAGTTAGTTTTATGGATGTTTCATGTGCATGTAAATCTAGATCTAGGGTTTGGTTTTTTTATTATTTTTGTTTTTGTAAATTTATGTTTGATAAAATTGGACTAGGGTTTGCATTAAAGATATTGGGTAAAATATAATTGTTGCTAATTGTTGTCTTTGAAATTGTTTATTGTAATCAATAAATATGTATTTTAATTATTTATGGATAAATGGGCCATTAATTAATTTTCCTCTACCATGGTGTGTTTGTATGCTTCATGTAATTATATTTGATTTATATTCATATATATCTGAAGTATATACAATTATTCTCAAGTAATAATTAATTTGATTCATATATATATATATATGAATAAGTAGTTCTTTAATGTTTGTTTTGTTGTTGTTGTAAAAGATGGAGTACACGAACTCTTGGATGTATGGTTCATTAATGTTCAAGGTAGGTTTCCGTGAAGAGGTGGATAAATTTATTGAAGCCGCAAAGAAGCATGCAACGACGTTGACAGAGAATAATGATACAATTATTTGCCCCTGTAAAGATTGCAAGAACCGTATGACATGGACATATGTGACTATCATCAGATCATATTTGATTATGCGAGGATTTATTGAGGACTACACAGTGTGGATTCATCATGGTGAAACGGTTATTGTTAACGACGAGAATGAGGAGGAATACGACAACGAAACCCTAGAATCCCTATCCCAATATTCAGCAGAGCTTGATGCACGAATGGATCCCGAGTTTGGCCATGAACAAGGTGGTGATGCTGGTGATTGGGATGGTAATAATGAAGGTGGTGCCAATAATGATGGTGGAGCACGTGTTGGAGGTGAAAATGATTTGGAGGACATGATTCGAGCCCTTGGACTAGAGATTTTACTAAAAAGCCCGAAAGGTCTAGAAAATTTGGAAAGAGTGACAAAAGCATCGAAAGAGACTGTGTATGGTGTTGAAAATGGATGTCCGACACATTAGACATTGCTACATTTTGTGCTTAACCTACTCATCCTGAAGGCTAAGTACGGCTAATCAGACTGTAGTTTCAATGATCTATTACGTCTCCTGTCGTAGGTGCTGCCACAACCAAACTCAGTTCCCGCCAACACACACCAAGCGAAGAAGGTTATATGTCCATTGACAATGGGGATTGAAAAAAATCCATGCATGCCCCAACCATTGTATACTTTTTCGTGGCGAAACGTTGAAGTCACTGGATAAATGTCCCCGGTGTAGGGCCACCCGGTACAAGAACAATGACCTTTACGGTGGTGACGAAGCCTCCACGGGGAAAAAAAGGAATAAGAAGGGTAAAAAAGGTGGTACAAGAATCTCAGCCCCAGAAGACACTCCATTAGGCAACGATGCAAAGCGGAGAAGAATTCCTGGCTTGGTAATGTGGTACCTGTCAGTGATCGACCGCTAGAGACGTATCTTCCTAAACCCTAAAGAAGCCACACTCATGACATGGTGGGATGATGAGCGCAAGGTGGATGATGATAAGATTGCACACCCGGCTGATTATAGTCAGTGGCAAAGGTTCGATGAGAAGCACAAAGAATTCAGCGATGACCCAAAGAATATACGGTTTGGCTTGAGCACTGATGGAATGAATCCCTTCAATGAGAGGATGAACGACCACAACACTTGGCCACTGATCTTGACCATGTACAACATCTCAACGTGGTTGTGTCAGAAGAGAAAGTACCTTCTCCTCACTATTCTTATTTCTGGCCCTAAACAACTAGGCATTAATATAGACGTGTTCCTCGAGCCTTTGATGCCAGAAATGGAGAGGCTATGGAGGCATAGGGAACCGATGTACGATGCATTCTGAAAGGAGGACTTCATATGTAGAGCAATAATATTTGTTACTATCAATGATTACCCCGCGCTGTTTGCTTTGTCTGGACAGATCAAAGGGAAAATGGGATGCTTGGTTTGCTTGGATGGTACTACATGGGTGTACCTGGATGCATCCAAGAAGATGGTTTACCTAAGAAATCGATGCTTCTTAAAGACAAGTCATAAGTACCGCAACAAATTGTTCTTTAGATTTTATGACAACACCCCAGAGATTGAACCCCTCTGGAGAGACGTCATAATGGAGAACGCGTGTACAGAATGGTGAAAAACATACGCGTCGTCTATGAAAAGAAGAATCCGAATGGGACGAACAGAGATAGAAGCACACCTCCTGTCGAAGGCGTACCTTTCAAGAAATAATCGATCTTTTTTCAGCATCTGCCTTATTGGCCAGACTTGGAGGTCCCCCATGCCATTGACGCTATGCACGTGTAGAAGAATGTCTTTGAGAGTCTCATTGCTACCTTGATGGACACAGGCAAGTCAAAGAATGGTCTGAAATCACGGAAAGACATGGTGCAGCTAAACATGATGCCACAGCTTCACCCGGTACCTGAGGCTAATGAAAAATACACTCTACCCACGGCGTGCTTCAACCTAACACCAGACGAGAAGAGAGCTATATGCACTTTCCTGAGGGGGGTCAAAGTCCCGACTGGGTTTTCAGCGAATGTGAAGAAGCTAGTGTCGATGAAGGACTTGTCAATAACACACTACAAGGCTCACGATTATTATGTGATGCTGACAGTTTTTCTATCCGAACGAGGAGGTAGGAAAAAGTCTTAGCTTGTAAATTTTGCTAAAGCTTTGGCTATGTTACCTCTGCTAACACTTTGACCTATCATATATACAGGTCCCTCCTGAAACTCGAAAAAGATGACGTCGGCGTCCGTGACATCTCACCGGACAAGATGGAGTAGAGGAAAGGAGAGCAGAGGCAACAACCATAGATACGGACATTGAGGCCTCTGCTCCACAACCTCAAGACACAAACACGACTACCAAGCCTAGGAGGAAACGAGGGGATAGAAAAGCAAATCAATATCCAGATAAGGCATGCTATGTGATAACGGAGGTCGGGCCAGCAGGGGAGATCCTTGAGCTGAAGGAATTCAGAGGATGATTCCGTAATACGATCAGGGCCCTAGTAAAAGATAAATTGAACCCTACAATTCCTAACTGGAAAGAGGCAACAAAGAAGAAAAATGATGAACTATGGGATAGGTAGCTGAAGCTCAATTTTAGATTTCCGAAGGGTAAGCACGAACTAGTAAAAAATGCTTTTAGGATCATGGGAGAGTCGTTCCGATGTTGGAGGTCGGAGCTCAACAAGAAGTATAACCAAAAGGGGTTAACTCCCTTCAATGAGTTCGGCAACATAACTCCTAGTCAATGGGAGGAGCTCATGGCTCAGAAGACTTCACCGAAGGCATTGGAGCTCAGTGCCCGTAACACCGAGCTGGCGAAGAGGAACAAACACCACCATCATCTAGGCCTCGGTGGCTACTATGCCAAGGAAGAGCAGTTTAGAAAGATGGACGAAAAGGTCGTAGTTGCTGGGAATATTAATGTGATGAATTTGAAGGTACGCTCAAGGAATTGGATATATGCGAGGAGTATAGAATCATCCGGTGGTAATCTTAAGTTTGATAAGCTGGAGACCCAAGAGGCAGTATTAAGGATACTGAAATATGCTGAAGACAAGTAGAAGGGCTCATTCAATCCTTCCAGAGAGAGGGACGAGCTTAGCCTTGGCTTGGGAAACAAGGAGGACACAGGCCACACCAGGGGGCTAGGGAAAAGGATGACCTAGAAGCACGGATTCGAAGAGGACAGGCATATATACAAGAAACATGGTAGAGACCGGGAGACTAATCTTGAGCTCCAAGTGAAGGCTCTAGTTGTGAATGCGCTGGAGGAGCAAGGACTGTCTACGGAGCCACATACATTAATGATGCCCCCGGGAGAACTGGCATTAGTTGGTAGTCCTCTGAAAGTTCCTAGCAGCTAAGGTTCCACTGCAGCCACAACCCCCATCGATCGTATACAGGAACCAACTAGTTGCACCTTGGTGTTTCTCAATGGCCGACAGAGCATTGTGGTAGAGGTGGCAACGGGTGTGGCACATCCTCCTGGTGGCTTACACCACAATAATAAGATACCATCGGACTACACTAGGGTCGAGGTGCATACCATGAAGTCTGAGTTCAGGCAGTGGAGGATAGATTATGCCAGTCACGAGGGGCTGGTGCTACTCGGAGATGTAATGGGACAGTTCATCCTCTGGCACAAACATGACATTATATTGACTGCTTCTTCGTCGCCT